CCGTGGGCGGGTGGCGGCGGGTGGTGGTTGCGGCTCCCGGCGCTGCCCCCCTCCTGCTGCCCGGGGTGCTCCCGCGTTTGACATCAAGCGGGGCGGTTTCCTCTCGTTGCAGACACCCGGCGAGTCTTTCTGCGGGAGGACGCGGGATCCGCCTCGGCGTGTCCTGGTTGTCACGCAGCCTTCCGAGCGGTGTGACATCGCCCCGCCAGTCCCTTCCCGCCGCAAAAAGGGTAGCTGCTTTCTGAGCCGTCCCGTCCCGGCTGCGTGTATGCCTAAAATTGTCATCAGCTGCTTGGGTGTTTGTTGGTTTTGGTTTGGTTTTTTTTTCCTGAGGCCTTACTGAGGTTTAATTACTTGTGGTGATAGTGTAATTTAAGGTGTTTGTCCTACTCAGTTTTAACTCTCTAATTGACTCTTTTATGTTGTTTTAACTCGGGAATGGTTAAATGGCCAAAGAATTCAGTTATTTACGGATGAGGGCTGTTTTATTTGAGTACTCCTGGCCTGCAACTTAAACTTGCATCTTTTATGTTTTTATCCTATGCTTTTTCTGTGCTATGGCTGCTGCAACAATAGTTCATGATACATCAGAAGCCGTAGAGCTCTGTGCTCCCTGTGGGTTATACCTTAAACCCATTACAAAAATGACCATCAGTGTGGCCCTTCCTCAGCTGAAACAACCGGGAAAATCCATTTCCAACTGGGAAGTGATGGAAAGGTTGAAAGGGATGGTGCAAACTCATCAGTTTTCCACTCTGAGGATTTCTAAAAGCACCATGGATTTCATCCGGTTTGAAGGAGAGGTGGAGAACAAAAGTTTGGTTAAATCTTTCCTGGCGTGCCTGGATGGCAAAACCATCAAGTTGAGCGGCTTCTCTGACATCCTGAAGGTCCGTGCTGCAGAGTATAAGATTGACTTTCCTACCAGGCATGACTGGGACTCGTTTTTCCGTGATGCCAAGGATATGAATGAAACCCTGCCTGGGGAGAGGCCAGACACCATTCATTTAGAGGGCTTACCTTGTAAGTGGTTTGCAGCAAAGGACTCCGGCTCGGAAAAGCCGAGTGAAGAAATCCTGATAAAAGTTTTCCAGAATTTCGGAGAGATACGGAATGTGGACATACCCATGCTGGACCCTTACAGAGAGGAAATGACTGGTAGAAACTTCCACACTTTCAGTTTTGGAGGCCATTTAAATTTTGAAGCTTATGTTCAGTATCGAGAGTACGCGGGTTTCATTAAGGCCATGAACGCCCTGCGAGGGATGAAGCTGATGTACAAAGGTGATGATGGCAAAGCAGTGGCTTGCAATATAAAGGTAAGAAGCTGGGAACCTGTGTGAAAGACCAAATACAGCTAAATGGTGTTTCCCTAGTGCCTAAAACATCTGTCTGTAAACTCTGCTGATGGCAACACGTGACATTAACAGCACTAATGTAGTATAGCTATAGTTACAGGCAGAGGGTTGGTTTCCTAGGCCTGTTAGTAGGGTGGAAAATAAGAGTGGGAAGGCTAGAGCTATGTTTATGGATAGTTGGGTGGTTGGGGTAAATGTGTAGGGTAGTAAGCCCAGGAGGTTAATTATGAGTAGAAGAGTTACTGGTGATGTTAGGATTAGGGCTCATTTTGTGCCTGTTTTTATTTAGTGGGGTTATTAGTTATTTTGTGATTAGGTGGAAGAATCGTGATTGAAGGGTAGAAAGGTGGTTGGTGATTCATCAGTTGCCTGGTGTGGGGAGGAGGAGGGCAGGGAATAGTGTGTAAAGGAGAATTAAGTGGAATTCCTAGTAGATGGGGGCTTATGAATTGATGGAAGAAGCTTAGGTTCATGGTCAGGTTCAGGGAGTGGTTTTAGAGTTTTGTTTGAGGGAGGGTTGGTAGAGGTGAACTTTTAAAGAGGTAGACTTCTAAAAGAAAATGACAGAAAAAAAATGTATTGTTAGACTGTGTGAACCTTTAGAGATTTTGCTTTTTTTGAACAAGCTGATTCTAGAAATGAGAAGTGCTTAATGGCCCAATCAAGCATAGGAGCATGACCTGCTACAAGGTTTTTAGAAAGTAATACGTTATTTATAATTCATGTCATTTCAGTTACAAATTTAAATCCTGAACAAGTACAGCCATATTTCACCAGAAGGCTGTCTCTCAAGTGCATTGGTGTCTCTTGTGTTCACTATAAATAGAAATTTTAGGAGAGAAATGTGCAGCCTCTGTATTTAGTCCCGGCGTTGATAATTAAGTCTACCAGGCAAGTGTCAGAACTGTGACGTTTAGCAGCATGTGGCCTGTAAGAGCTGCCGAGTGCAGTTAATCAGCACTGTACTTCACATACAGAAAGGGCCCACAGAAATTTAAACAATGATGTTAATCCATAGCACAGTTTCCTGTGAATGCAGTGTGCTTAATTCATAATATTTACATACTGAGTTTTCCAGATCTTTTTTTCTTGTAACCCTTGTCTTAGAAAATGCAGCTAGGACAGGAGAGAACAGGGCATTCTGTTCATAGGAACTGGGAAAACAAGGCCTGAAGAAAACTTGCTCTAATATGTGGCCCATGCATTTACATATTGGTTGAGTGAAATGTTTGTGGGTGTGTCTCAGTATGCTCTGTGGTCATTTATCAAACCAGGAAGTGTATTTTGGGAAAAGTCTTGAGGATTCCTTTGTATAATATGGGAACATGCAAATATTTATTCAAGTTGTACTTCAGTCAGTATAACTAAAATACTGTAATCTTTTATCTTGTTACCAAGGATTGTTAGTTGAAGCATAGAAACTGTTTCTACCCTGACCCTCAAGGTTTTCAAGGGTCTGTGAAATTCAAACTGTCACTTAAAGGCAGGGGATCAGGGTTCCCAAATTTAGTTTGGCTGTGAAAGAGGAGAGGAAGCATGCCTTCCTGACAGCTGTCCTGGCAATTGACAGGAAAGGGGGAGGACTGTGTTTGTGACTGTGCTCTCGGGACAGATCTCTTGTCATACAAGGTCACAAGACTTTGTCAGTTTCTACCTGACTGTCCTTTTAGCCTGTTAGCAAAACATCATTTTACATAGAGCCTGGCTGTTCTCTGCCCCGTGATGCCTGACAGTGGGCATGCTGGAATGTGTTATGGATCCCTGCCTGCCAGCCTGCATGCACAACCATTGGTATCTAGAATAGGAGATGAGGACACCAGGGATGTGATGTCTGCTAGTGTCCTGTTCCAGCACACAGCTGGACATGGCTAAAGTGTGCTCAGGTGTCCTGGAAGCTGAGCCTTGTTTCTCATATGTGTGTTAACTTCCTTTTCTCTTGTGTTCCCAGTCTCAAAGTTGGAGCGTAAGCCCAGTATTCCTCAATTTAGAAATCTTGGTGTTAGAATTGGTGGGAAGGCACTTGCTTGAACTGGGTGCTGAATGTTGTAAAATTGTTGCTTTGGCTGAACTTCAAGACTGCAGCTTTAGACAGGCCTTTATTAAAGTCCATTTCTATCTTGTGCTATACAGTCAGTCCCTCATAGCATACGTGAGTTGCAACAGTTCTGTATGTTCCTGTTCTGACAGGTTGAAAACATTGGACAGGCAGGGCTGTAACCCACACTAGGGTTTACTTTTGGATGTCAGACACACACAACAGCATAAACTGCTACCTGCTTGTGCTGGTGTGCAGGCATGGGGTTACCAGTTACCTGGTTATAGTACTCAGGTGCTTGCTCTGGGCATGTACCTTTGTTTTGAAAAAAGTTTTATGGTTCTGATTTTACTTAGACTGTGGTTTGGATACTTTGGGCTAGGTTAAAATTGTTGGGGATTGTGCTAGGGATTTATTTTTCTACTTAAAACTATTCAATTATATCCTGTAAAGGTTTCTTTTGACTCAACAAAACACCTCAGTGATGCCTCAATTAAGAAGCGTCAGCTTGAAAGGCAAAAGCTTCAAGAGCTTGAAAAGCAGAGAGAAGAACAAAAACGTAGAGAGAAAGAAGCTGAGGAAAAACAAAAAGAGGAAGAAAGGTATTTATTGCTTACTGCTAAGTTATATTTTTAACACCTGGTATAACAACACTGTAATTACTTCTTCATAGCAGCATCAATAACAATTAACAAAACACAGGTTTCATTTCAAAGTTCTGCTTCTCTAGCTAAAGTGAAGCACTTACAACATTTTGGTACTTCTGAGGAGTTAGGATTCAGGGATTATGAGATTTGGAGAAGTGGTTTAGGCTGTTTTTTTTTCTTGGGGGGAGCAGGGGAGGCTGTGTTGAGCTGCAATTCCAAGAGCTCAAAATTTACATATAAACACAAATGGAGCAAGTTGTGTCAGAGATTCTGTGCTGTTCTGCTGCCTTGATGTGCATCAATTCTCATTGCTTAATGCTTAGGTATTAGACAGTTCCTGAAGCTATAAGGTTTAGATTATCACTAATGCTTGTGTTCAGTCAAAATATTAAATCTGCAAAATATTCCAGTTCCTAAAAATTGTTGCATTAGACACCTGATCTCAGAGACCCTTGGCCTTCTAATCTAAGCTTCCATTTTGTCCTGATGACTGAAATAAACCCACAAACTCCTGCACACATTTTGCACACAATTGGTAATTGTCTTCTCGCTGTGATGATTGACTGCCTAGCTGCCTGATGCCTTGTTACTGTCTCTAGTCAAGTTGGCTTTAAAAAAAGTAATTTTTGTTGTAGCCATGTTTTATGCTTGGATTCCAACTTGCTTTCAGATATCAACATGCTGATGGTTGCTTGCTATCACAACTGCTGGCTAAAATGTTCGCTCTTTTCTGCTTCTGTTTTTCAGTAATCAAATACAGTTACTTAGAAACAGATTGCTTTTTTACATAGAGTAGCAGTCTAAAATAGTACCCACCCTAGATAAGATAAAAATATTTAATCTCTTTTTAGGAAGCAGAGAGAGCTTGAAGAATATGAGAGAGAGAGAAAACGAGAAGAAAAGTTGCGCAAGAGAGAACAGAAGCAGAGAGATCGTGAAGTTCGACGGAACAAAAAACAACTTGAAAAGCTTCAAGCTGAAGAACAGAAAAAACTGCAAGAGAAGATAAAGTTGGAAGAAAGGAAGCTCCTGTTGGCTCAGAGAAATCTTCAGTCCATTAGACTAATTGCAGAACTTCTAAGCAGGGCAAAGGTAACTTCAGTATTTATTTCAGAAGCTAATGAAGAACACAGGATGACAAAGCCTTTTGATGACTTGAGAGGGAGTAGGGAGCACTGGTCATTAAACAGATTTAGTACCTCTCCATATGCTGTTCCTTAGACAAAAAAATTTGAAGTGAAATGAAATGGTATCTCTTTTTTGGTGGATAAAGGTAAATGGAAGGGTGAAGTTGAACCTATAGACCTGAATAGTATTTTTTACGTGTAAAGTAACTTGCTCTGAAGTCCAGTGAAAGAAAGTGTAAACATAATAAAGTGAGCTAAACACAAAAGATAAAATGCAAGACTTCTCATATCTAATTCCAGTTTGATGCTGTTTACTCGCTGGCTTTTTACACTTCGGTTAACTTTTTGCATTTTCAGAAAATGAGCTTTCATTATTTGATGTTTGAAAATGTGCAGAA